GCATGATCAGCAAGCCTAATCCTACAATCTCTATGCATTGACAATGTGTCATTAAGAGTCTTGTATGATCAGCAAGCCTAATCCTACAATCTCTATGCATTGACAATGTGACCGTAATTATAGGGATTAAGAGTTCAAAGTACAACCGCAAGACTTGAGATCTTATCCAAGTGTGGGTATAGACCGTGAAAAAATTTATGAATGAAGGGGTAATAGCTATGGACTTTTTCAAGTCCAAGGGCAACACAGAAAATCCCTTTATCAAAGGACTTGAGTTGCTATTGGTTCTTAAATCTAGGCTGGGGATGTGATTGTAACACTTACCTAATTCATCTACAGTATCAACCCAACCTATTTGAATGGAGATTACACAAAGTAGGTTTGAAATGGTAACAACAAGCTGTTGGGTGAATTGAACACCTAATGATAGGTTGACACTTAGTATCTAAGTCTATCTCCAAGTATACCTGGAAGGTGTTGTTTACTGCTATGGTAGTAAGAGTGTTTGACTCTAAATGACATTAAGTCTTTAAGATGAGATGCAAGTAGTGCATCGCTAGAGATGCCCAACTACATGAACATGATTATGTGGCTACAATTATAGAAAGTGGGTTATTCCTTAAAAATGTTCATGAAAAAAGATAAGGATGCATGACCATGACACGTCAAATCTAAAAATTGCCACTATAGCCTATATATATGATGTTGTTACCAATACACATCACCACATCAAAGGTTCAAGTTCAAGACTTAGTTTTACTTTGTGGCTGTGGTGATAGAATTGGATAACTATAGGGAAAGTTTAAATCGGAATATGCCCTCTCTGAAAGCATGATATGCTCTTTCTTCTTTACTTCTAGCTATGAAATTGTGAGAGATTGTTGCTATAAATGGAACATTGGAGGATTTATGTGAAAAATATTCTTTGTAAGGATATTATTATATGGTTGGATTCCATAGATGAAAAACATATTAGTTAGTAATATGTGAGGATTTAATCCCACATTGACCAAGTGAATGTGTTTTAAGTGGTTTAAATTATCATAAGTGTTATATATAGTATAATAAAGATGTTAAAATGTATACTTGTGTTGGCATGCTAGCGAGCAAGAGCGAGTAAGCAGGCTCGAGTGAGCGGGGCAAAGTGGCTGGGGCCGAGTGAGCGGGGTCGAATGCATAGGCAGAGTGAGCGGGGTCGAATGCATAGGCCGAGTGGGTGGTCTGACGCGTGGTGCAACGCGTGCTTTTTTGCATGTGTAGCATTATTTTGTCCTGAACATTTTGTACGCTACAAACATTATAAGGTTTGAATGACAGTTAATGTAGATGTTACAAACGTTTCAGTAATGCCATTGCCACCATTTGATGCCATGTCTGGCCCCTCAGCTCACCAGAACCCCTATATAAAGGGCTTCCCCTGACCATTTTGAACACCTTGATTTTCTTCTGCAATCCTCTAAACTTATTCTTTAGCTGCTGGTTTTGGAGACTCTAGCGAAGTGAAGTAGCAATCAGGGCGTTCAATAGAAAAGAGCATTTCTTTGAATAACAGTTGTCTCATCCTCAAAAGTATTGTGCAAACCCATCACTACCTTAGATGAGGTATAATTTTTTCAAGGCTAGTCCTCTATCAAAGGGCGATTCGACATTCTGTAATGTATTTCTTTCTTAAATTTTCTGCTATTGTAATCTTATTTCTTTTCTACTCTTTGTCTCTCTTCATATGTGTTTTGTTCTGCTTTGGTAAATCCTTACCTATGGGTCTATTATTTTATGCACTTTTTCCTACAAGTTCTCCTTTATGGCTTGCAAATTGCTTGGAATTGGGTGCAAGAGATTAGAAGTGGAATGTGATTTAATGGTTGTTATTAAGGTAGTGCAAGCGCAATGGGAGGTGTTTAAGTCTTCTCTTAATTGAGGCCTCTTATGTGGCACAAAAAATGTGTTGGATCATGAGTGGGAGTAGGCCTGTCCATCCGGGCCGGCCCGGCCCGGCCCGGCCCGGAAATCCGGGCCCGGGCCGGGCAAAACCGGAGCCCGGGCCGGGCAAAACCGGACCCGGACCCGGACCCGGGTACCCCGGGCCGGGTCCGGGTCCGGGCCCGGGCCCGACCGGGCCGGGCTCCGGGCCGGCCCGGGTTTTTTTTATTTTTAATTTTTTTAAATTTAAAAAATAATAAAGCATAAAATATACATAAAAATTACAAAAAATGAAATAAATTTTTTAATTAATTGAAATGACATAAATTACATAGTATAAATTTATTTTGGATTCAGTCGCATCACATAGTATAAGTAGCATCCCACAATAGGTTTTTTTTAAATTTCTTTCCTTTTTTTTTGATAAAAAAATGCTAAAATTAGATTTAATATTATTATAATTTATATAATTATGTATTAAGTAAATACTTCTAAATTATTATGTAAGCTATATATAATATATAAGCATATATTATATGTAAATATATTGAATATATTTTAAAAGTTATACTTTAAGAGAGAGAGAGACAATGCGCATAAGGTAACGCATATAGGCCGGTTGCTACGTTGGCGAAATGGGGAAGTAACAAGCGGTTGTAATATACTATAACTTATATACTAAGAAGCAGAGAGTAATACACACACACATATATAAAAGAAGTTAATACTTATAAATAAGGAGTATACATAATATAAGAGAGAGTATACTTATATATGACATATATACTAAGAGAGAGAGAGTATATTAGTATATATATATATATAATATAACATATATTATACATATATAGAAGAGTGTGATACTAATATACTACTTATATAAGAGAGAGTATACATATATAAGAGAGAGTTATACTTATATATACATATATACTAAGAGAGAGAGTATATATATACATACATACATTATACATATATAAAGAGAGTATTCTTATATATATATATATATACTTATATAAGAGAAAGTATACTTATATATACTTATACATATATATACTTATATACTAAGAGAGAGTATATATATAACATACAGCATATGACATATTATACATATATAGAAATATATTATATAAGAGAGAGTATACATATATAAGAGAGAGTATACTTATATATACATATATATAAGAGAGAGTATATATAACATACATGCATACATTATACATATATAAGAGAGAGTATTCTTATATATACTTATATAAGAGAAAGTATACTTATATATCTTATACATATATATACTTACATAAGAGAGAGTATATATATACACACATATGACATATTATACATATATAGAAATATGTTATATATACATATATTATACATATATAAAATATATTATATATACATATATATACATATTATATATTATTTATATATACATATATACATATAATACATAAAAATAAAAATAAAAAATAAAAAATAAAAAAACTACTATTTCCGGGCCGGGCCGGGCCCGGGGCCGGGCAAAAAGAGGCCGCCGGGCCCGGCCGGCGGAGCCCGGACTTGCCCGGGTTTTGCGGCGCGAGGCCCGGGCCGGGCCGGGCCCGGTCCGGCTCCGGGCCGGGCCCGGGCCGCGGGCTGTTTTGGACAGCCCTAAGTGGGCGGAGAGTAATTAAGTTGCATCTTATTCGAGGTAAAGACAATAGTGCATAACTCTACATTTCCTCAAATCAATACTAGTATGAGTTGATGGGGCTTTCTTTAGCGCATGTTTGTAATATTTAATTTTATTTTGACTTTGACCCTTTTAATCTACCAAAATAAAAAAATAAAAAATAAAGATTAGTCTAGTTTATCTTTGTTCATCATGAACCTTAATTTGAAAATCCTAGCTAAGAAGAATTTGGAAGGAAATTCTTAATTAGGAGCAACAAATGTGATATTAAAATTATAAAACCGTAAAACTCTAAATGCATAGAATGAGTTGATAAGACTTCGCCTTCATTTGTCTTGCATAGATACATTTAGTTTTGTCGCGCGCTGAATGTGATAATTTGGGGTGCATCTAGAGTTTCAAAGCTACAAACGTGGTACAAAATAACGCATGTTAAAAATCATTTCCCAACATCTCTCATCTAAACTGTTAAAATACACTATAAGCTTTACATGATTGCGACTCGAACAAAATCGCAATCAGTTTGGGAGAAAATAAGATAATAATAATATAATTTAAAAAAGCTGATGTGACTGTGCGTTTCATGTTGCCTACAACTTGGCGGGGCCTAGCAGTTTTCATCAGTCAAGGACAAAGAGGGTCATGCCCACCTCGTCGATTATGTACTGTCTCTTTCGTGGTCCACCAAATTAATTAATAAGAAATTATTAATTCTAGATATTAATATTGACACCCTTGCCATGGAACCTTTCCTTTCTTCATTCTTTCAACATCACATTTACAATTTTTCACCGAATTCAAAGTATTGGTTCATATACCGTACATTAGCGCCATATATATGTAGACGTGATCGATCGATCAGGTGGTCAAATATTAGATTTGTAAGGTCATTTGTGAGGTTCCTGTGCTAGTCAAGATCTTTTTTTTGTTAAGGTGCACGACTCTAGAATTGTGCAGGGAGGATGCATCAAATAATTAACATTAAACATATTATAAATCTGTCATGATCAAGAATTTTGCATTAAAATTCCATAAATTAATTAATACAATTATAGAGAAATCATCATAAACTTTCAAATATAGATTAAAATTTTGGGTAAACTTCACAAGCCCCAAAAACTCTAGGTGACTCAAAAAATCCCTCTGAACATTCAAAATATAGAATCTCTAAACAGTGGTAATGGATCAACAAGCTAGACTATCAAAATAATGGCCATATATAGATGCCTTGTTGGAGGGGTCTGTTATGCAAATTTGAAAGTTTTTGGAGGGACTCTGAGACATTCATAGCTCAGGGGGCTGAGTTTTGGGGTTGGGGTGGTGTTGTGGAATTCATCCCAAAAGTTTTCCTTGTTCATCTAGATCTGAAATGACCGAGAGAGCTTCCTCAGCGTCGCACCTCACATATATAAGAGCAATAGATAAATATCTCCATCAAATATCTATCTTAATATACATACAATATATATATAAATATATAGATGGAACACCACTAGTCTCTTAGTTATACATCGAATCTGAAATTAGCATCATCAAGATAAGCATGGAAGTGATAAGGAGACATGAGATCATGACCAGCTGAAAGAACGTCAAGAGTAGTCGGGAGAGCAAAACCCTCATCAAAAATGGCCATCTCCATCTCTGCGCAATGAGCCTCTTTACTCTCTACTGGTGCCCTCTCCTTCGACTCAACCTGGACCTCATAGTTAGCCATGAGCTCAGCGATGTCGGAGTCTTGGCCGGTGAGCTCCTGAACAACAGCACGAAAGTCCGACTCGCTGGCCCTAATTCTCATGGGGTTGGAGATGTAGACGACCTTGATGGCCTTCTTCTTTGATCTCGATTGCTTTGGGCTCTTTCTTGCAACACTTAGGGACTCCATAACAAGTTCTCAAGAGATTGATGTTAATATTAAGCTATACATATATGCATATATATATATATATAGAGAGAGAGAGAGAAAGAGAGGGGTTGGATGGTAATATTATATGTAGTGTTTCATAGTGGAGCGTGGGGTTTCGTGGAAGGGAAATATTGTGGAAAAAGTTACAGCACGTGCTTGGGAAAAAAAGGGGAGCAAGGAACGAAGGTTCATACAAATAGATCTGTGCATCCGGGCTGGCCCGGCCCGGAAATCAGGGCCCGGGCCGAGCAAAACCGGAGCCCGGCCCCGGACCCTGGTACCCCGGGCCGACTACGACCGGGCCCGGGCTTGTTTATTTTCTTTTTTTTAAATTTTATTTAAAATTTAAATTATAAAAAAAAACAAAAAATTTAATAAAAAATAATACTTTTATTAGACATAAATTACAAATAAAAAATTATAATAATAAATTCTTTATTAATAATTAATAAATTATTTACAAATTACAAGTATAAATTTATTTTGGAATTCATCGCATCACAATAGATAAGTGCATCCCAACTAGGTTGGCACCTACTCACCTATATCACTATCATTTGTAACTATTTTTAAAATAATTCTTTACAAATTTTAAGCTAAGATATAAAAATTAAAATTTGATGAATATTATTTATTCTTTATATCTATCTGCTAGTCCCAATTCTTCAAATTTATCTTCAATTCCAGCCATTCGATCTATACCTTGCGTTCGCTTCTCGTACCTCTACCAATCTTGTAAGCACATCACCGCTTGTACAGTATACGGATCTAAGCATGTCCTGTGGTCGTCGATCAAATGTCCTGCTGTGTTGAAGGCGGATTCCGAAGCTATCGTCGAAACCTGCACTGTTAGTAAGTCACGAACCATGGTGGAAAGTATAGGATATGAAACTGATCCATATACTTTCCACCATTGCAAAATATCTAAAGCATTTCCTTGACATTTAACTAAAGAAGCAGATAAATATTCATCTATTTCAGAAACCTCCAATGATGACGATCCAAGTCCAGATCCACCAGTTAGCTCAGCTACCATTGCATACCTATCAAAACTTATGCTTTTACCTCTGGATGAGCTCAAAGAAACCGAAGCTGTAGACTGTTGTGTAGCTACACCATGTCTAGCTGCATACTCATCATATAAGGTTTGAAAATAATTTCTAATAGCTAAATGATGAGTAGTAGCAGTAAGGGTGGTTCCATCATCTAAGTCTATAATCTGATTACCATACAAGGATTGTAACAAACTTCGAAGGCCAATATCCTTCAAGCATGGATCAATAAGAACCCCCAAACCAAAAATATGAGGAATAGGCCTAAAGTACTTTGTTTGCGCCGAAAGTCGATGTATTCATTGCGGTATTCATTACAACTTCAGTCGTTACAATGAAAACAAGAAAAATAGTCTTTTTATAAGACTCTTATACAATAAAAACAAAAATTACAACTCTCGTCAAAACAAACGCAGGGAGATCGTTTATCGGTCTTCTGCTTGCGTGTGATCTTTACTTGTATCGGGGTTTATCCGTGAACCACCTTTGATTAGATCCGATTGCTGAAAAATTGGGCAGAGCTCCGCCTTCACCAAGGGAATGTTTGATTTGAAGTGCTGAAATCGACCAAGCGAAATCAGGACTCTTCTCGAGATTAAGACCAAGCATAATCTCAAGGAAATAAGGGAAATGGGCGTCGGATCTCTCGAACTTTCCTTCTTTATGCCGAAGAACTCGACAAGATTTGTCAACCCTTGCTGAAATTCGTGCTCCTTTGACTCCTCAATCCGGCAACACCTTGTCCTCTTGATAATAACTCCGTCCCGCTGAAAGGAGGCCCTAGGCTTGTATTTATAGGGCTCCGGATGCGGGTTTGTGGATGAGAATGAGTAATTTGGCCTTATCTTCGGTTAATAACCGATTAACCACATTTGGGGATGATATCTAGACAGTTATGAACCTCTGGAACAGAAGAAACCGATCGAAACAGCCTAAAAACACGTTTTGGAGGTTACGGGCAGTTCTGGGCGCGAGACGGACTGATGTGACCCGCGTGGGCGCGGGTCGATGGATCCGACCCACCGTCGCGCGGGTCGGACTGATCCGACCCACCGCTGCGCGGGTCAGTTTGAGACATCTTTGGTATTTTGGCCTTAACTCTTTCGTACGACCTCCGATTAAGCTGATTCAAGATGCGTTGGAAAACTGACGAAGAGATCTAAAACTTTTATGTTTTGAGATTTTTCAGATTCAAATCGCAGCATAGTCAAAACTTTACTTCTTTGTGCGATCAGATCACTGTAGCGCGGGTCAGATTACTGTAGCGGGTCGGAAATCACTGTAGGGGTCGGAATCACTGTAGCTGGTCGGAATCACTGCAGCAGGTTGGAATCACCGCAGCGTGCCGGAATCACTATAGCGGGTCGGATTACTGTAGCGCGGGTCACTTTGGTGACCCGTGGTTACTGTAGCGCGGGTCATGTTGTGATATCTTCGGTATTTTGGTCTTAACTCTCTCGTCCGACCTCGAATTGAGATGGTTCAAGATGCGTTGTAAAACTGACGAATATACCTACAACTTTTATCTTTTGAGTTTCCTCAGATACAAATTATAACATGGTATAAATGCCAATCCTTTGTGCAGGCCACTTTGAGGTGTTTGACACTTTCTAACTTCTCCGGACTTGTATTGCGCATTTCGTCATTCCGTTGATTTGTACACTCTAATGATTCACTTTGTATATTTGTTAGCTTCCATGGGGCCGGATAATCCTTTCCTAACTTGAATGATGACGCTTATCGTCTTCTCTTTGTCTTGAGATGTATTCGGGGACCTATAGGCAATTTTTTTTTTTTTTGGCCAGTGAAAGATTTTTATTTCATCACCAAAATGAGAGAGTTAAGTACACCTTATAACTCAGCATATCAACTGAGAAAACAAAAGAGGATCCGGGAGCATACCAACCCAGATTTCAACAATATAAATCTTCCCAGTAAGCAGATAATGGACTGTTAAGCACTGCAGTTAACATTTCAAACTTGATTTCATTCGCCAAGCTGACAGGATTTTTACTTTTCTGGTTGAACAACCTGTCATTTCGTTCTCTCCAAATGCAATAGATTGTAGCTGTTAATGCCATCCTCTTTATTTTTTGCTTGAATCCCCTTCCCTTCAACCTTTTAGAGTACCAATCCAATTCTCACGGGAATAGACTACCCGGCGACGCGTGTTAGGCGTTGACTTTAGGATTTTTTGGCTAATCCCCAGCCATCAACGGGTTTGATGAGCCTTTACCGACTACCGTTTGAGTCGGGCTAGCATGCATATTGTTTAGACCCGTTCTGCACGTAACGTTATGCTAAAAGAGTTAACTCTTTTAGCGCTACGATATTGAATACGTAGACTTCGTCTTTCTCACGGGAATAGACTATCCGGCAACGCGTGTTAGATGCTGACTTAGGATTTTTGGCAAATCCTCAGCCTTCAACGGATTTGTGGTGCATTTACCGATTACCATTTGAATCGGGCTTGCATGCGGATTGTTTAAGTCCGTTCCACATGTAATATTATGCTAAAATAGTTAACTTTTTTAGTGCTACAATATTGAATACGTAGACTTCATCTTTCTTACGGGAATAGACTATCCGGCAACGCGTGTTAGGCGCTGACTTATCCCTACTTAGACTTCGGGATAAAATTCCTCGTGCGTGTGAAGCACGGATTTTGGTGTTATGAATAACAACCTGCCACAATGTCGAATATGTGGGCTTTCGTTCTTTTTACGGTTAAGAACTAACCGGCAACGCATGTTAGGCATTGACTTATCCTTGCTCAGGATTCGGGATAAAATTCCCCATGCATAAAAGGTATGGATTTTTGTTGCTACAATGCTGAATACGTAGACTCGGTCGTTTTTACGGGAACGAACCACCCAGTAACATGGGTTAAGCGTTGACTTATCCCTACTTAGACTTCGGGATAGAATGCCCCAGACTGGATTCTGGTGTCTTTTTCAATTGGTGAAAGACTAAACCGGCAACACGTATTAGGCGTTGACTTATCCCTGCTTAGGCTTCGGGATAAAATTCCCCGTGCTTGTGAAGCACGGATTTTGACGTTATTAATAACATCCTGTCATAATATCGAATATGTGGGCTTTTGTTCTTTTTACGATTAAGAACTAACCAGCAACGCGTGTTAGGCGCTGACTTATCCCTTCTTAGGCTTCGGGATAAAATTCTCTAGACTTGAATTCTGGTGTCTTCTTCAATCGGTGAAAGACTAAACCGGCAACGTGTTTTAGGCGTTGACTTATCCCTACTTAGGCTTCGGGATAAAATTCCCCGTACGTGTGAGGCACGGATTTTAGAAGTTTGAAAAAGCGGAGTCTTCTCTTGGGGCAAAGACGAACCCGATACGAAAGAGGAAGAATTTTATATTCTATCTCCCAGAGCTGAAGAGGAAGAATTTTATATTCTATCTCCAGTTACAAAAGAAAACTCAAAGTAGGATCTCCACTTCAAGAATCCGAGAAGGTGAAACTAAGAGTGTGATCTCCACTCCGAGAATCAAAAAGATTTGGATAACCCTAACTATCGGAAGGTTTGATTACCGAACTAAAGATGGATTTCTCGTTTATCGAGAGTGAATTATGGTTTTGGTCCTTACTGTAGGAAGGTTTGACCAAGCGAGAGTTTGAGGTGACCCTAACTGTAAGAAGATTTGATCACTCGATTTGAAAGTGGACCTCTCGTTCATTAGAGGAATCGAGAGGGGATTTTGGTTTTGGTCCTAACCGTAAGAAGGTTTGACCAGGTAAACAGTGGGAGTGTGAAATGACCCTAACTTTTATAGGTTTGATCACTCGATTTGTGGACCTCTCGTTCATTGAAGGAATCGAGAGGGGATTTTGATTGTGGTCCTAATTGTAGGAAGGTTTGACCAAATGGACAGTGGGAGTGGGAGTACAAATCACAATATGAGGGTTGACTTGTACAAATCACTCAGTATGGGTTCTTAGTGTTAAGTGATAAGGACTTAACACGAAGGGGTTTGACAAT